AAAAAAAATTTATGATAATTATTATAAGTGTTATTTCTGTGACTTGGCATTTAGTATTCAAGAATACTTCAGCGAGTATGTTAATGTGCAAATAAGAAAATAATATTTGAGCAAGCTGAGCATTGGAAGTGTTAGCATTGCTATTGTATTAAATCATCTTTATTTTCTGTTTTATTATTTCGATCAATTGTACTGTTCATCTCTCCCTTAGTGTCATTAACCCTTAAAAGTCTACCGAAGACGAAATTCACTCTCGTTTGGATATCAGCGCTACGCTATGATTCATATGCAGATCATGAACTTCCTGATGGTGCGTGGTACCATTTGAGTAACGTCAGCTTCTTTGTCACGTTCCTCGATTTCGTCGGCCACATGTAGCATGAAAAGATCCGATCGAACATGATATCGTGATATCATTTGCCAACGTTGCAATTACAAATGTTTCATGATGTAATTTCAAGTCAGACCAAGATCCGTCGAATGAATAATAGGCACAAGTATGGTTCCTAGAATGAAAAAGGTATGGCTCCTACACGCTTATACATGTATATTATTTTCTAAATTAAAAACAATAGTATTGAAATGTTTCATTTGTTATGCCTTTCAGAGTTATTTGAATTCAATAAATTACAGGAGTGCTAGAATTAAATATCGTAGAATTTAATTAATTGTCAATGACTTAGCAATAATTTATTTTGTCTTTGAAAATTTTATTCTGTCTTTGAGAATTTATAGAATAAACTTAAATTATTCTCTGCTAAATGAGATCATTAGGTTATTGAATTTACATAATTTATGTACGTCTCGAAAGATATGTACGTTTCGAGAGATAATAAAATAAAAATAAATCGATGTAACTTATGTATAATTCCACTCAAACCTGGAACAGTAACCTTCGTAGCGATCATTGATTCTCATCATCCAAACCGGCTGTGATGTGATCAAGGTCCCAAATGATTCGCGTACGCAGCAGCCAGTACGCACTTTCATGTTAATACATCGCATAATGTTTTGAACTTCGGAACAGAACAGAAGTGTATCAGATTTCAGATTGCCTCCAGTGCCTTTGCAAGAGTGCTTTTACAACCGAACAAAGTGCGCGAGCTAATTGTGGAAAACTGTAGTGTTTGTCTGGAAAAACACGTAATGGACATGCTTCGTTTTTGCCTCCTGTTACAATTATGCGTTCTGGCAGTGTCTCAAAAGACAGTTTTAGATTCACCGATAAATCTGTATTTATATCGTCAAGTTCGTAATTGGTTTCTGCAAAATTTCGGTACGTGTTCGATCAGTGTGCAATGAATTTTACACAATAATCTTCCAATGCAGAAAGAAATAACGTGTGATTCTCAGTTGAAAACAGACTTTTTTTGCGGAGGAAAGGAAAGAAATTGTGAAAATGCGATGATT